TTGTATACCAGATATTAGCACTATTCTACACCTGATATTAGCACCATGGCACACCTGATATTAGCACCATGGCACACCTGATATTAGCACCATGGCACACCTGATATTAGCACCATGGCACACCTGATATTAGCACCATGGCACACCTGATATTAGCACTATTCTACACCTGATATTAGCACTATTGTACACCTGATATTAGCACTATAATACACCTGATATTAGCACTATTGTACACCTGATATTAGCACTACTCTATACCTGATAATAGCACTATTCTACACCTGATATTAGCACTATTCTACACCTGATATTAGCACCATGGCACACCATATATTAGCACTATGGCACACCTGATATTAGCACCATGCACACCTGATATTAGCACTATTCTACACCTGATATTAGCACTATTCTACACCTGATATTAGCACTATTCTACTCCTGATATTAGCAGTATTGTACACCTGATATTAGCACTATAGTACACCTGATATTAGCACTATTCTACACCTGATATTAGCACCATGGCACACCTGATATTAGCACTATTGTACACCTGATATTAGCACTATTGTACACCTGATATTAGCACTATTGTACACCTGATATTAGCACTATTGTACACCTGATATTAGCACTATTGTATACCAGATATTAGCACTATTCTGCACCTGATATTAGCACCATGGCACACCTGATATTAGCACCATGGCACACCTGATATTAGCACTATAGTACACCTGATATTAGCACTATTGTACACCTAATATTAGCACTATTGTACATCTGATATTAGCACTATTCTATACCAGATATTAGCACTATTGCACACCTGATATTAGCACTATTGTACACCTGATATTAGCACTATTCTACACCTGATATTAGCACCATATCACACCTGATACTAGCACTATTCTACACCTGATATTAGCACTATTCTACACGTGATATTAACACTATTGTACACCTGATATTAGCACTATTGTACACCTGATATTAGCACCATGGCACACCTGATATTAGCACTATTGTACACCTGATATTAGCACTATAGTACACCTGGTATTAGCACTATTCTACACCTGATATTAGCACTATTCTACACCTGATATTTTAGCACTATTATACACCTGATATTAGCACTATTCTACACCTGATATTAGCACTATTCTACACCTGATATTTTAGCACTATTCTACACCTGATATTAGCACTATTGTACACCTGATATTAGCACTATAGTACACCAGATATTAGCACTATAGTACACCAGATATTAGCAATATTCTACACCTGATA